AGGTAAAATCATAACATCGTTTGCCTGAGAATTTTCAGGCAATCCTTGAAGTTAGCCATTGCAAAATGAGTATAAGAAACATGATTTCCATAAGATCAGTCACTTGTTGGCAATCACCAGCAGAATTCTTCCAAGAAAAATCTCAATGATTATAGTACTAAGGCAAGCAAAAGACAACTATAACTATCAGCCATTAATTGTAAAAATGTATCACCATCCTTACCATTCTTCAGAAAGTAAAGAAGAAGAATGGGAGACCAAGACTAGGAATAGCGGTCAGATGACAGCAAAATCCATCAAATAAGACAAGTAGAGAAGTTTTCCACAGATAGCTACGTAAGAATCCCCATTTTAATGCCCGCTTTCGTTGTCTCAAAAGCTGTAGGACATCCAAAGATTCCATATCACAGCTAAGAAACAAAGGGATATCCATGTGTGGATAGTGGCTAATCATTAAATCATCATCATCATGCTCTGTATGGAACCCATATAGAGGAGAAAGAACCTCAGATACTAGCATTGAGAATTGATGTATCATCAAAAAATTAAATTGATCGGGCACAAATCTCCAAATTCATATTAAAAAATTCTAAAATTAAATTCGGAGTCATCTGAACTCCAATTTCAGCATACTTAAAGTCAAATTGAACGTCTCGAAAAGACAAACCCAAAGACACCAAATAGGACCCAATCCAACCAGGAATGGGTTTAAATCAAATACCCAAAGCGCAATTGGAAGGTTCAACCATAAAATTGAATGACCAAACAATTCTAAAATGTGACATGCATATAATCAAATCTAGCGGCTCGACGAGAAGAATCCAACAAGCCCAAGATCACCAAATTATGATATCACTAAGATACGCAAATACTCGATAAATGGTCCATGATCAAGGAAGTCGTTATCTTCCGTCCATTCAAAACATGTCAACACATATTCTTCCAACTACCACTACGTAATGCACTCTATATGTATATTGGCAACTTTGAGCCAGGGCCTTCTCCCTATGAAACGGCCTCATTAGTAATCAACTGCAAACATTAGTGGATTCATTTAAACAGGGCCAGTCACCAAGTTTTTTACCCATTTCAGGATTTTCCACGTAAAAATCTTGTTCTCTTAAAAACAACTGAATGTTATACCTCTACTCTTTTATTTGCATGAGTGCAGGTTCTTCGTATAAAGTTAAGACGCTAAACTTTATATTTCTCTACCACCACGAATATTCCAGACATAACAAGAATAATGCTTCATTCCCCCAAAAATAATGAGCGATGTGAGAAGATAAAGTTACCATTAGTATTTAAAAGCCTTTTGATATGCAATGCACATAAATAAATATAAAAGGTAATAGGATAATAGAAAGGGAGCTACCATGCCAATATGCCACAAAAACTAACATTAAAATGCCAAAATAGTTAGCTCAAAATGCCTGTTCGGTTGCACGATTTTAGCTAAATTCGGCCAAACGCCAAAAAACGCAATCGTAAATCCGACGATAAGCCGAAGGAGTTGTTTGGTAAAGCGATTTAAGTAAGATTTGTCGTAAATCCTGCCAAACAGTTTCAGATCACGCAATAAATGCGAATCAATCGTAAATCTTGGATTTACAGATTTACGGCGTAAATCCAGAATTTACTAAATCCCATTGTTTGGCAAATCTAACAGGATTTACAGACTTATGAAGTTCTTCCAGGGCAGGCGAGCGAGCTCCCGCCTTCAAGGAGGCGAAGGTATTTACCTATGCAGCAAGCGAGCTCCTGTCACGACTTCGAATTTGCTGCCTTCAAAAGAGGCGAAGAAGCTGTTTTTGCAACTCTATCAAAAACCATTTCACAAAAAGTAAACGGAGCCAAAGCAGCCACAAAGAAATGGTGATGAGGAAAAACGACATCAACAAAGCACGGAAAAAAAGATGAAAAACAAACCCTAGACGACCTCCTAAATTAGAAATTAATGTATATCATATGTAGATCCTCCTTACACTTTTTATACTTCTCCATCAAACCTCTCAAATGTGCTACACAAATTACCAATGGTTATTGCACCCTGTTAAAGGAAAGAAAGAGAGACAGTGGGCAATATGACAACAGAATTCCAACACAAAATAAATAAATAAATAAGCAGCTTTCTAAAAGAGAAAATCATAACATTGGTTGCCTGAGAATCTTTTGGCCATCCTTGATGTTATAATAAATCTAGAAATCCAAGTGTGGATCAGAGACTTATTGGCAATCACCAGCATAATTCTTCCAATAGAAATCTAGATGATTAAATTATTGAGGAAAACAAAACACAACTATAACAATAAGCCATCAATCAAAAAATGTCTCACCATCCAAATATTTCTCCTCTTGTCCGCATATTTTTTAAGCTAAGGGCAATTTGAGAGAGAGAGAGAGAGAGAGAGAGAGAGAGAGAGAGAGAGAGAGAGAGAGAGAGAGAGAGAAAGAGAGAGGATTCAGATCCTCTTGAATTACCAAGGTTGTTGCATGGTGTTTCAATAAGGAGATATCCATAGACAACTCCTGCACTCCATCTTAGAAAAAGAGAATCTTTGACGCGGTCCTCACAGCTAAAGCCCTAATAAAAAAATGGAGGCATCTGTTGCTTGCGGATATATCTTTGATGCCTCATCATTCTCAATTAAAGATATGAGAACTCAACCAAGAAAGATTAAAATAGGAAATGCATCAACATTTAATAAAATAGATCAGCATTGTAAAGTGGTATGTATGTAAATTTCCCTAAAATTAAATAACAACCACAATAAAAACAACTTAGTGCAACAACCCAACGAGTCATGTTTCATGCTTCTTCCACAACAACCTCATCCATTGATCCGCTACAAATCTGCATCTGCAACTACTAAAAACGGGAATTTCAATGGAACTTAAAAGAAAATAATGCATCCTACCCTGCACATTATGAAACATCAATAACCCAACAGAGCTGACAAAATTCCAAAAGTAAAGAAAAAGAATGAGAAACAAAGAATACGGATAGGGGTAGGGGTCAGATGACAGTAGAATCCATTAATTAGGGCACGTAGAAAGCTTTTTACAGATAGCTATGTATAAATCCCCATTGTAATGCCAGCTGCTGTTGCTTCATAAGCTGCAGGACATCCAAAGACTCCAGATCATAAAAAATTAAAAATAGTAATATCCATGCGTGTATAGTGGCTAATCCCTAGGGCTGTTTGGATAAAGGATTTAACAGGATTTATGCTGATTTAGAGCAGGACTTTTGCCAAATCCTAAAAACGGGATTTGAGCACCCGCTGAATCTCACGGAGGAATAAATCCTCAGTCTCCCTCTTTGGACTGTAAATCCGAGAATAAATAAATCCTGAAATTTCACGGATTTATGGGATTTGTGATTTGGCCGAAAAAGCGCGCTGAAGGATAGTTTCTTTTACAGCGAACAGCTTGAGAAGAGGTAAGGAAAACCCTACCAATCCAGACGCGCAACGTCACCCGAATACACTGGGTCCCGGTGTATTTTAGTGACGTGGCGTGTCTAGTTGGTGTCCGGACGAATCCGGACACCGGACATAATAATTTGCCCTAATAGTGAGGCATTAATGCATTACCATTACTCATGAGACCATCATCATAGCCAACATAATCACCACCTCAACGAATGAATCTATCACTGGGATTACGCCAGAGAAAAAATAGCCCGATACCATTCATATAAGGATGTTCTTGACATATTCGAGCACATCAATTTCCCAAAAATAAATTTGTTGAAAATGAAGTTTATCTCGCTCAAAGAAGTCTTAAGCCCAACAAAGATGGAATCATATAAACAGTTGAATATAAAAGATTAAAAAGAAAATATTTCTTATTCGGTGAGGAAAGGGGTTCCATCCCTCTAATCTTGGGAAAAACAAGGAGGACAAAGAGGCTTTGATTATGTAATGGACATGTGCAATTGCAAAGTTGAAAAAACTACTAAAAGCCGATGGAATTCCAGATATATAGAACCACATAAAACGTCACACAATTTTTTTAAAAAAAAAATTCTACTCTCATCACAAACTTCAAGCCTTAATAGCCATCCTTGCTACCTTACCCTTGCCAGAGAACCACATTTTGTGGATATCCTTGAAGCCTTAAACTTCGAACCACCAGTCGACGTTGGAATATCGCCAGGCCACAAACTGACACCAAAATCCCACCGAACAACCGATTGTCGCCGGATTTCCATCCGATAATTGTTCATCATAAGATTTCAACTCGACGGTTGATTATTAAAATCTGATGGCCCTCAATCTAAAGAACTAATAAGTAACTTGCAATATATTCAAACACTAATGAAATCATTTCAACTGAGCGTGGTCTCATTGTTTTTCCCTTTTACACGATTTTCTGTGATTGCAAGCGTCTTGCAAACAAATGCCTCCAGGTCCTCCTGCTTAAAAGAATCTGACGCAAAGTTAGAACATGCAGGTAAGCGAAATAAAAATAAGCAGATTCTTGAAGTAGCAGCAACAATGGTAAAAAGAAGAATTACTGTGGGAAGTATTTAATAGCACTAAAGTAGGTTGCAGGTGGAGCTTCATAGTAGAGGAAGAACTAACTCATCATCATCATCATTGCCCTCAAAACTTTTCACTCATAAAACAGATAAACACAAGACATGTTATGAGTATTGCCACTAATCTTGAAAATTACCATATGATTAGGCCTTTTTAATTGCATTTCATTGAGGAGATGAGGCTACTAGTAGCCCCTCCATCTGTAAATGGAAAAAAATATCCCCCATCAGGGTTGAATTTCTAACGAAATTAATAATAGGTAGCGTCACTTTGGTTACCAGTAGCCTCATCTCAAACTACCATGGTTACTGCACAGTGCTTTAAGAGAGAAAGAGTGAGAGACAATGTGACCTTCATTCCAACACAGACAAAAATGCAGCTTTCTAGAAGTCCACTCACTTCAAAGCATAAATAAGGAAAATCATAAAATCGGTTACCAGAGAATTTTCAGGCCATCATTGGTGTTCACCATTGCAAAATGAGTATAAGAATCCTGGGTTGTAGAAGATCAGTCACTCGGTGGTGGAAATGGCCAGTAAAATTCTTCCAAAAGAAATATTCAAACGAGGAAATAAAAGTACAAATAACAAGAATTTTTTGTTTGTTTTGAATATAATTATCAGCCATTAATTGAAAAAATATGCCTCACCGTTCACATATTCCTTCACATTGCCCAAAATGTTTCGAGAAAATTAATAGTGTCGTGCCCCGCCTTAATGGAAAAAATCTCAAGGCTCGTTATTGCTCATTATTGCTCGGTAATGCTTGGTGTTGCTCGGTATTGCTAGGTATTGGTATTGACAGATTGGTATTTCTCGTTACCGAGCAATAACGAGCAAAACCGAGCAATACCCTGGTCTGCACAAATCAGCTAATACATAGCAATACCGGGTTCCGGTCCGGGTCAGGTTGTCGGGCCGCGCAGTAAAGAGTAAGAGCACGTGGAGACATTTTATTGGCACCCGGATGTATAGCTACGTCAGGTGTCCGGACCTAATAAAAATTCCTAGTCAAGACATTCATAATGGATATAAGTTTGCCAAAATAAAAGTTCGAATGGTCCTGAAATTAATTTTGAATGCATCTGATTCAAATATGCATCAAATTCATATCTAATCAAACTAATTCTCAATGTCGAATCATATCTATATATATATATATATAGAGAGAGAGAGAGAAAGAGAGAGAGTTTAAAAGCCATTGGATCCTCCCATAATTGAAGATAGATAAAATGATACAGAAGTAGAAGACTAGGCATCCAAAATATGAAGGCTCGCATATCTCATCCATTGATCCACCAATATAAATATGCATCTGAAACTACTCAGAACGGTAATTTCATTGGAACTTCAAAGAGAATAATGCATCCTACCCTGCACATTATGAAACATCAAAAACCCAACAGAATTAACTAAATTCCAAAAGTAAAGATGAAGAATGAGAGACAAGGAATACGGTCAGATGACAGCAGAATCCATTAAATAAGGCAAGTAGAAAAATGCTTTCAAAAGCAATAAAAAATTTGTCTCAAACAAAGCCTAAATATGGCAGAATAGCTTGCCTGAAAGCTTCAGAACATTATTGATGAAAAGTAAGAAAGTGGCATTGTGCTCAGCTCCCAGCTGACAACATGGGCGGATGCCCCCTTAAGCAATTGATTATTTAGGTAATTTGCCCCTCAACATTTATTTTTAGTCTTTACTATAGGGATTTTAGGCAATTGCCGCCCCTAAAAATTTTAAAACACTATGGTCTTTAGGAAATTGTACCCGGCATAATTAAACACATTGTATTGAGGTGTAATTGTTAGGGAACGATGAACCAAATATATAGTGAAATAGTAAAGAGAATTTATCATTTTATTTATTAATTTGAATTCCAAAAATATCCTAACAAGTTACAACCAAAATTTGTTTTGGAGGTCCATGACCCGGTGATCTGATCGGGCAGGTTGAACCTCGCCAGGGTGCGCTGCCCACTTAGAACCCGAACATATCTGCAAAGCGTACGACAATCAAGGATATAAACAAAAAGGGGTCGAGCCAAATTCAAGGCAACTTCAACATACATTTTGTAGAAATTGAATGATTAATCATCTTTAGAAACCATTTTCATTTTGTCTTAATTTATTGATCGTTATTGACTCATTTTCTTGTAGTGAAGGGTCGAGCCAAATTCGAGGCAACACCATCCGTTACTTATAAGTTTGCTAAAGTCACTAAAGTCAATTCGTATTCTCACAACCTTCATTGAACATACCTTTTGCAACATTCTTAATATCATTAACTACTTTTTCCCATATAATATTTGCTTTCTCTTACACGGACAAAAATCTTAAGATCTAGAATCTTGCTCTCGAGCATATTTTGTTAATATTCTTTAAATGCACCCATCTTATCCTAGAACAATGTTTTACGTTACTTTTGATTTTTTGCCCCTTGATCTCAAAATCCAAAACTAATAAACGATGTGTCACATGAATGCATCTCAAAAAAAAAAATTTGAAATTTTATTTTCATATATTTTCTGCTCCAAAAAGAAACCATTTCACTAGAATTACTCTATGATTCTAACTTTGAGTTCACCAAATTAGCCATCGAAAGAGAAAATATCTTAATATGACAGAATAGGTTGCCTGAACGCAATAATGGGGCATTGTGCTGAGCTGACAAGTCACCAAATAATGTATCACTTATCTTGGATTCAATGACTTGAATGTGAGAGTAAGAGAAAAGATGTCCGCACTTAATATCATAATATGGTGAATCCACTTACAAACTAAACACCTTGTAATGTAAAAATGATACCTAGATTGTGGAGCATGGATTAACAGCATGTATTAAAGAAAAAAAAATTAAGCCAGTAAATCGAAATGATTACCTATCACAACTGACAGACTCCGAGGTAATGAGTTATGAAGATAGAGGAGGCTCCAATCATCAGTGGAAAGCATGAACAATTATTACGTCCTCTGACCGGAGGTAGAGCTACGTTCGGCCGCCAATAACATGTCGCCACGTGCTCTTACTCTTTTACCGCGCGGACCAACGACTTGACCAGGACCGGAACCCGGGAATGCTATGTTCGCGATTTTCTTGGTTTTGCTCGGTATTGCTTTGCAAAAACGAGAAATACCACTCTGTGAAGACCAAAACCATGCAAATACCGAGTTGTACCGAGTTTTTCTACAACTCGGTACAACTCCGTATTTGCTCAGAATTTGCCCAGTATTGTTAGGGATTTGCTCGGTATTTCTAGGTATTTGCACGGTATTGCTAGAAAAAACTCAGTACAACTCGGTACAACTCGGTATTTGCTCGGTATTGCTAGGTATTTCATCGGTATTGCTCGGTATTTATTATTGCCGAGCAAAATCGACCAATACCTAGCAATACCGAGCAATACCGAGTAATCTTGGGTCCGTTCCGAGTCAGGTTGTCGGGGCGCGCGGTAAATAATAAAAACGCGTGGCACGATTCTACTGGCGGCCGAACATAGAGTTGCGTACGTTCACCAGACCAAATAAAAGTTCGGAAAGCATCACATAAAGGAGAAAGTAAAAATTCTCATACATCATTAAGATCTAATCCTTAAAAATAAATATTTAGCAGCACAGGTTGCCCTTTGAAAACCTTTTTGATCAATCACAATTGCATAAAAAATGAAACTGACATACATAGAAATATAAAGAGCAGTAGCATTATTTTCAATATCATAAGCTAAATTTTTTCAATCCAACATGAAGGCGGCGCCCCCCTTGTCATAAATAAAAACAATAAAATCCCAAAAAACATGCCCTTGATGAAATAACCCACTAATATAAGATACACCACTTATGACCGGCAATAAAATTTGTTTTCCATATTTACTTCGTTGAGAAATAAGAATATTCAACAGC